TACACACACACACACACACACACACACACACACACACACACACACACACACACACATATATATATATATATATATATATATATATATATATATATATATATATATATATATTTATATATTTGTGTGTGTGTGTGTGTGTGTGTGTGTGTGTGTATACATATATATACATATAAATGTGTATGTGTGTGTGTGTGTGTGTGTGTGTGTGTGTGATACCAATATATATATTATATATATGTACATATATATATACGCATATATACATATCTACATATACATTCATACACACACATATACATCTATATATCTATATCTATATCTATATCTATTTATCTATATATATAATCTATTTATTTTCCTTTATTCCAACATGTGTGCGTGTGTGTCGCCAGATGCAGAGTACAGTTGTCCCGGCTAATGAGGCAGCGCCAGCATACCATCACAACTAATAAAGCAATCACAGTTAATCTCCAAAGGCAATCTCGACCAAGGGCGGAGGAAGTGAGCGCTCCAACTCGCCCCGAGGAACGCGCAGACCCAACAGTAGCAGAGATCAAGGTCCAGCTGCATCTCGTGGGCGTGCGAGGGCGTGCCGACCTTATGTGACGTGTTGGTGCACCTGGGAACAAGGTCGGGCCGCCGCGCTAAAGACCAGGGGCGCCGCGTAATGCGAGGGGCGCCGCGTAATGCGTGGGGCGCCGGCGAACTGCTCCATTCACACGGACTCGAAGCTGGTGACGGCGGCGGTTACTTCAACGCTGTCCATTGGGGGGTGAGGGGGGTGAGGAGAGGGGGGAGGGGAGACAGGTGAGAGGGAAGGCAGGACTGGAGGGAGCGGAGGGAGGAGGGGCAAGGAAGGTAAGAGAGAGGGAGGGGGAAGGGAGGAAGGAAAGGAAGACGAGGGGAAGAAACAGAGAGAAGGGAAAGGGAAGGGAGGAAAAAGGGGAGGATACAAGAGAATGGGAAGAAGGAGGGGAGGAGACAAGGCAAGAGTCTTGGAATATAGCAGTATACTCCCATAGTTTTCTTGCCCCCCCCCCCTCTGCCTTGTAACTCAGGTAAACAAAAGAACTTCGCCGGCCGCCGCTCGCCCCGACCTCATTGTAGCTCGCCCTCCGTCCTCTGCCATTTTATCTCAGCCCTGGCCCATATATCTAACTACATACCCATGGGAACACTATTTACCCACGCCCAACGCCCGCGCGACGCCACAAACGCCCCTAAATTTACACTCACGTTTCCCATATATCTTCAAAAAGACCTTTTCTACCGCCGCCCTTGGCATTGCCCGCCCAACATTGCCAGCCGCATTCTCGTTGCAGCTGGGAAGAGGCGGGCACCTTGCACCAGCTGTTCTGATGCATGACGACCCACGCCTCATAATTCCTGGGTCCTCTTTTGCATTTCCGAGCCATGAATGAGATCGCGGCGTCTTCATCACAAACGAAAATTAGTATAAAGTCTCCATATGTTGAGCGATGGCTGCCGAATCGTCCGTCGTAATAAATGATCTGGAGCCTATTACGTTATGACCTTCATGGTGATCGAATGAGAATCAGATTCTATATAAGGAAGATATAAGAGACGCGATCGTGATAGCACTGGTATTAATGATAAGCGATGACAGCAAGAACGATGACAACATTGTCAAGAACGATGGCAAT